ACATCCTCACCACTTAGGTCGGTATAAGTCTCACCACTTAGAGCTGCACCTGATAGTCATATGATAGAGTTTCGTCCTTTGACCTTAGAGCTACTGAGGTTTTCACAGATTACTGACTAGGGATCTCTGAGCGTATTGGGTCGACTATCTTCATGACAAGGTAGACTTAGGGTCCTAGTAGCTTGGGATAACGGATTTGTAGTGCCCCGACAAGGTCACCTCTACCTGTTAGGGATTACTCCTCCCTTCATTTAACTATCCACTTTAAGCCATGTCGCTCCTCTTAATATCGTTGATATCATCTTGACAGCCCAATTACTAATGAGCTGCCACCCGTTTGGGATACGATGATTTATCATTTGCCCTTATGGCCTGGAAGCGCTTTAACGTATTGGGACTCTCCATCAGGATGATTCAGTTGTTTTGCAGGTTCCATATGTCGATGAGTCTGTTACTCTTGTGGGACCGTGAGAGACTCACTCTCCGCCCCATGGCTTAGCGGGAACTTTAAAGGCATTGGAGTATTCCCTTGCAAAATAATTGCCCTTTCATTGCCCTGCGTTAGTTGTCACTTCTAATGTAACAAAAACTTCTTAGATCAATAGTATTCTTGGGCAACCCCCAAAATGTAATTAACCAAGTGGGATACATCCATTTGGGAGCACTTTAAACCTCATAACATTCAAATAAATTTGAATATCTGATTGTGAGTAGTCTACATAGGTATTCTTTTGTGGATATTCGTCCAAAGTGCTTTCGTTTGATCTTGTTTGGGAGGACATACTTGACATATCTTTACGAGATTTATCAGACACAAGCACTCCACATTTTCTTTCTATTATTTGTTGTTTTTATTGTTTGTTCATTTTTCTAATTCCTCTATTCTCATGTTCAATCACATGATCCTGAAAATAGACTTATGTAAAAAAGGGAAATATATGATGATAGACAAACAGATGACTCCTTTAAAAATAAAAAGTAAAAGGAACGAAAACAGAAATCTTGGAAATAATATTGATGTTTATTTACAACCATTAATTCAAAAACTTATTGAGTTATGGCATGGAGTTTCGTGTTATGATGCAACTACTAGACAAAATTTTAATATGTGTGCATAACGAATGTTGAAAATTAATGATTTTCCAGCATATGACATGCTATCCGGATGGAGCACTAAAGAAAGATTTGCTTGCCCTTATTGTACCAAAAATACAGTATCTTCATGGTTGTATAAGATTAAAAAATTCTCATGTATGGGCCATCATCATTGACTATCTCCTAATAAAATGTTTCATCAAAAAAAGAAAAGTCTTATAACACAAAGGAGATGAGAACTGCACAACATTGAATGACAGGTTGTCAAATTTTTTCAGAAGTTCATGACTTACATAAAACTTTTGACAAAGTTAACAAAGACAAAAAAAATTTGAAGTGGAAAAACAAAATGTTGATAAGTGAGCAGTTGCAAGATTTAATCATAAGAAAGAAGAAAAGCATTTTTTTTATTTGCTTTACTAGAAGTACAACATGTTACAACATAATTTTAATGTCATGCATATTAAAAAGAATATTTGTGATAATTTCATTTGGACTTCAATAGATCTTGATAAATCCAAAGAAAATCTACAAGTGCCGACAAGATTTAGTTGACATCAGCATAAGAACTGATTTGCAACCTCTTAATAATAAGAACGGTGGTTACATTTTTCCGCCAACATTGTTCACATTTTCAAAAAAGAAAAAATGAAAGTTCCTAAAAGTTATGTGTCAAATATCTCTAGAACTATAAACATCACCGAGAGTAAATTAACATGTTTAAAAAGTCATGACTGTCACATTTTTATTGAATATATTATTCCAATTGCATTGAGGTGCACAACACCTTCAGATGAAGTATTGAACATTGTAGTGGAAATATCAATATTTTGAAAAACAATATGCGCTAAGATAATTAATCCAAGTGAATTGGAAAAGTTACATAATAACATTTTATTGACTTTATGCTAAATGGAGAAATGTTTCTTGCCCTCATTCCTTACAATTATGATTCATTAATTTGTTCATTTAGTTGAAGATATAAAACTTGGTGGTCCTGTGCGATATTGATGGATTATGCTTGGTGGTCCATTTGAAAGGTAAATTATGATTATTTTTAATTAATTTATTTACTTACACAAAATTTTATATGTGAATAGATTGTTTCTATTATTAAAAGCTTACATTGGCAATAAAGCATAACCTGAAGGATAATTTATGGAGGGTTATATTGTTGAGGTAGGAATATCTTTTTTTTCTAAGTATCTAGAGGGATTTGATGTTCTGCCTAGATCAACTGAGATTTTATTATCTTACAAGTTTTCAAGTAGTGGAATGCCATTAAGTAAGGTAACATCTATTGTGTTGGATGACAAATCATTATTGCAAGCACACAAATATGTGTTTCGCCACTGTAATAATATTATAACTTTTAGAGAAAGTTTCATAGACAATGAGAAAAGAAAAAAATATGTCAACATACACATCTCACACCTTATGACATCGAGAAGCTTGTGAATGAAAACTTTCATTATTGGTATAAAAATAGAGTAAGTTTTTAATATTTCATATTTTTTCAACATTCAAAATAAATATTTTATGATAAATGAGTTGTCTTGTAGGTTATGCGTTGTGATACATCACAAAGTGATGGAACTAAAGCGCTTGCTAAAATTGCAAAAAAGCTATAAAGGATTGTGCATAAATGGATACAACTTTTATACTAGAGACTGTGATGAAGCTTAGAGATTTTTGTTATTATGGGAGGTTGACTGATATTATTGACCTAAATTATTCTGATATATTTCGAAATGTGTTTTTCAAATGTGAATGGGCAAGTGCATCTGCAAATGATATGAAGTTAGATCAATTTGGAATTCCTTTAGTGACATTCTCTCATTTAATTCATACTAGAGAGAAATTGAAGCAAGACCCTTTCATTTTTTCATCACAAGTAGAGCATGTTTTCTATATACAGGACTCTCAAAATACGAATTGAA